AACTGATTCTCCAGTTCAGGTTCGGAGTCGAGCTCCACTTAACCTTGAATCAACAGGTGAACAGCTCTCCGTGCAGCAGCTGCGGTGCACAACAGCAGGTTCAGTTGCAGTGGCTCAATTACTGCGGGTCACTTTTACAGTCTCAGAAAAGAAAAGCTGCAACCAGCATCACCACAGGCCAAGAAAACAGCCCGTTCAAGACAGGCAGGTTCAGAACAGGCACTGCACTAGTTAATGGTGACCAGTGAGGTGAGGCTAAGATGGGGCGTGTGTCGTGGGTATGTTGGAACTTGAAAGTTAAATCCAGACTCATGCCTCCTGAGGCCTCCTGACTCGCTGCCTTGCTGATTCCACAGGTAAACGCAGATTCAACATCAAGCTGTGGAAGACTTTCACCGACTGCTTCAACTGCCTGCCCATCGCTGCCATAGTGGACGAGAAGATCTTCTGCTGCCACGGAGGTATCCATGTCGAATATACACGTTTCTGTGTACATCTCTAACGGAAGTCCTGAATGTGTGTAGCATAGCAGTGGGAGCTTAGTGCTGTGCCTTCCTGTCAGTACCCACACTGTGATCTGCAAAGATACAGTTTAATGGAGCCTTGTTGACTAACCTGATGTGAGGTAAATGGGTCAGAGCCAGTTTATAGCTTCAGTGCTATGGGTTAATACCGGCACAGGCAGGAGGGGGAGGTGGGGGGGGGGGACGATGATGGTGATGAGATTGACAAAGTGTATTAGTTTTGTGTCATCGTGTTGATGTGTTGCCCTCAGGTCTCTCACCTGACCTGCAGTCTATGGAGCAGATCAGACGCATCATGAGACCCACAGATGTGCCTGACACAGGTGGGTCCACACACACACACACACACACACACACACACACATTTAAAATAACCCTAATTATCTGTGAATTGATTTATGATAGATCGATCAGCCTATCAATTCAGTTCTATTTGATATTACTTAGAAACAAATGAACCGATGATTTTTTTGGGTATCCGGATTGTCCCGATCAGGTTCTGGATCAGACCTGATCCAGGCTTTTTTTTAAAAATCTGTTTTAAAACCCATCCTTGCTGTAAGAAGAAATCTGCCCCAACTGGTAAAATAACTTTATCGTGGTTCTAATTCTGAAGAGATTTGTTTCTCTGCTGATATTTCGGAGAGCCGGGACATTGTGTTCGGGCATCGACATGCATTGGCAGTCGGTGGGAGGAGAGATGTTAATCGATGATGGCGTGGTTATTAAAAAGTGGTTTTGTGTTAGCTGACCTTGTACGGGTTTGCTCGCACACACACACACACACGCACGCACAAAAAAAACAGCCGATCCTGCTCCCACTGCAAAGTCATCAACCTCACGGCGACATGGAGGGGGCAGATTTGCAAACTGTGATGATTTCGCTCCATAGCAACTGCCAATTTCTGCAGTAATACATCAAACTTCGATCCCTCGTGCACCTCCTCCAGAAAAATGCCCCGATTAAATCTCGATGCTCGAGTCCCGCTCAGAGGGAGCTGCTGTTTGGGCCGACGTTTTCTTTCGCTGCGTTTCCACGGAGTGATTCTGAGATGAATATGAATACAGGTCCAGCCCCTTGTGAGCTCAGCCACTGATACATTTGTTTGTGCTGTTTTTCTATAATAACACGAGGCGAGGACGCATGAAGTGAGTAACGCTCACTGCGCCGGTCTCTTCTAAATCCTGGCACTGTGAGGTTTGTTCCTGTAGCTGCTTTAGATTAGGGAGGAATAAAATAGCTGGAGAACTTCTTAATCTCTCTGCCCCCCTAAAAAGTACTCAGTTCTTCATGATGAACCAGTGAAGGTGAAGCCTCTCTCAGTTGGAGGCTTTGCCCTCTTCTTGTCCTTATAAGGCAGCTAGTGTTTGAACGCTGGCAGCCACTGTCTCTCAGATCCTCTTATGGTCTTCTAGGGAGACTCCAAGTGTCTGGATGTGAAGCGAGTGAGTTTGTGTGTGTGTGTGTGTATACAAAAGGAAGCCTTGATGTTTTAATACTTTAAGAAAAGGAAACTTTTCGGTAGTTCCAGGTTGATTTACGGAAAAGCACAGAGAGAGAATGTGATGCCTTGACCCAGATTTCAATGTTTGATTAAAGGTCAAACACAGACTTATTCTCCTGTGTGAATACAGCAGCTGCCTCCTCTGCGATGAGCAATGGTTGTGGTGTGAGAGTTGTGTATTTTCCCCCCCTCCAGGCCTCCTGTGCGATCTGCTGTGGTCGGACCCAGACAAGGACGTCCAGGGCTGGGGCGAGAATGACCGCGGCGTCTCCTTTACCTTCGGAGCTGATGTGGTCAGCAAGTTCCTGAACCGCCACGACCTGGACCTGATCTGCAGAGCCCACCAGGTACCATGCACTTAGCCTCCCATAACTCAACTATATGCATACATAGGAAACCAGCTCCCCTGAGTATAACCGCCAGGCATCTAGTTGTGGTTTACCACAGCCTTGTGTGTAAATGCACTGAAAAACCCAGTTAACATACTGATGTTTACGGAAATACCATGAATCAGGGCTGCAGTGAGTAACGTCCCTTTGAATCTGATGCCCCCAGGTGGTGGAAGATGGCTATGAGTTCTTTGCCAAGCGGCAGCTGGTGACTCTGTTCTCGGCTCCAAACTACTGCGGAGAGTTCGACAACGCCGGCGGCATGATGAGCGTGGATGAAACCCTGATGTGCTCCTTCCAGGTATGCAATACTGACAAAGTCGTGACAAAGTACGGTACAGTATACGTGCACAAAGCAGATCAACAGGAACATTAATGAGTTGATCTCATTTTGATTTTAATTTTAATTTTATTCAATGAAATCGTATTTTTCCCCAAGTGGACAATTGCATGCAGCAGCATCACCACCCAGATCAACTTGCTCATAATTAAGAAGGAAGAATTGGTGTGTTAAATCGACCTCGATAAAATTAAAAACGCTGCATACACAAGGTTATATCAGTGTAATTAATCCAGTTTATAATAAAACAGACAGTATTTTATTACATACACAGAATTAAAGCTAAAGCTTCTGTGCCTGTTCCAGATCCTGAAGCCATCTGAGAAGAAAGCCAAATACCAGTATGGAGGGATGAACTCGGGACGGCCCGTCACCCCACCCCGCACAGCCCAACCTCCAAAGAAACGATGAAGAAGGACGGAAGGAGGGAGAGACAGAATGAGAGCGATGATTGTCGGTGATTGTCTCCTGGTGGCTTTGCACAACTCTGAGTAAAAGCAACACTCGGCAGAGGAGGAAACAGAAGACCGCGGCTGTTTTTAAAAAGACGCACCCAAACCTGTCTTTCATTAAAATTCTCATTTCTTTCATCTGCCTCTGAACTGCTGTCACACGCTCTTCTTCTTCCTCGATGCTTTTCATCCGTGTAACATTTTTAAAAACAAGTGTTAAAAAGAAAAAATGAGAAAACAGTGAGGCCGTCATTCTGTAGCATATCAGAGTGTTTCCTTTTTCTTTTGTCTTTTTGTCCTTTGCCTTTTTTCTTGACAACAGAATGACAGCTAATTTAGTTTACCACATCTCCTTACTTCCCTGCCTGTACACACACACACTACAGGTATCAATGACAACTGCTGGGTTTTCAATAAATAATACAGGGAATAAATCCATGTGGACGTTCTGTGTCGTTCTTACACCTCAGTAACTTCAACAGAGCACTGGTTTAAAACTATGTACTTGTTTTTGTTAACATCTCAGGAATTAGACAGAAAGTCTGAAGTCCAGGTAACGCTGTATTCCAGGTTTGGCGTGGGGGACTGGTTGTTCCGGTTGAGCTTCAAATCAACCTTAGATCAATAATTAAATCAGACTTCAGCCCTGAGGAAGTTTGTTCAAATGTTTTTTACAATAATCCAGGCTAACACAATCCTGCTAAATAAGTAAAGCAGTTAAAAGGTGGATTTGTGAACATTAAGAGATTTTATTATTTAAGAATAACGAGCTCTTATTTTGACATTAAACCCTCAGACATTGTGGATGTCGCCATAGAGACGTGCAGCTTTTTAATGCCATTGCGCAAGAGTGAATTCAAAGCCAGGGAGCCTTAAACACAATAACTTATTCCACCTGCGAAACCAAATCTGAGGAAAATCCAAAGCAGATTTAATATGATCACATTTTTGACAATGTGTCAAAGTTGCTTTAGTGTAACTCTCATAATTTTCATTTAACAGGTAAGTTAAGGGATGCAATGTAATTTAAAAAAAATCTAATTGTATCCCTTAATGGTGAAAATGAAACTATGACAGTTACACTCACGTAAGTGTTGCTCAATAATGTCCTGATGATGCAGGTACATGTGAATAAGCCTGAAGTTGAACAGGCTCATTCAGGCCGAAGGAGTCGCTGCTTTAGATTTCAAGGCAGAATCAATAAACCAATAAAACAAAATCCAGGTGTACAGTGAATAGAGTTAACTCAGATCGGGGGAGACAAGTGAGAAACCACTGCTTTAGTCTTTAATAATGTGTTTGAACAGCCTGTTATATTATTTATTGTTTGAAATCTTCATTTTAAAAGGTACTAAAGATGTCAAATAAATGTGATGAAGTAGAAAATACAATCACTTTATCTGAATCAGAGTAGAAGTAGAAAGGAGCATGAAGTGGAAATACTAAGTACAAATGCTGACATGTTGGGAAATTTACAATATTTGTGCCACGGATGTTTTACAGAGCAGCTGCCTGGTGATGAGAGTTGAGTGCATCGGAGCTCGGTGTGTTTGTTGGTCTGCGTGAGCTCATGCGTGATCCGGGTAGTGGTGTTGTGCGTCTGTGCTGAGGTGTCAAAAATGTTTGTTCCCTTTGTGCTGTGAAAATTAGAAAGTACCATGAAGTGCTTCTTTTATTTGTCGAAAACAAAAAAAAACTAACTAATAACAGGGGGAAAACCTTAGAGAGAGCGAGGGATCCCTCTCCCAACAGAGCACATCAACAAAATAACAATATTTACAAGTGTGGTACAGTGTCTCATGTTTAATATTCATTTCAATCTGAAGTAGCTGAGTGAAGATGTTAAGATTTCTGTTTCAAGATCCGAACTAGAACATCACTGTGTAGAGCAGAAACGCAACAGTCTCCTTAAATTCAACCCAACTGCACCAAAACTGAATGAATTCTTCTCTGACACAGCTCGTTGGAACCATTTATTTTCAGCCACATCTGTACACATACATAATGAACATGCATAGGCATAGATTCCCTTTACTGTAACTCATTCTGTCACAGTCTGTCTGGAGCACATGTGAGCTGCAATGTTGCGGCCGTGATCAGACAAAACACAACAGGATGGATTTTGTGAAATGAAAAACAGTGTCTTCAACGATGATCGAACATGATGCAAACACAATGTGAACCGTTTTATCGTTAAGGCCGAGTGTGGCAGAGCTTCGACTACGGAGCGTACACAGCCTGAGAGCGTGCCCACATCGCATCACTCTCTGCACATTCTTCAAACACCACTTGTACAAAGGACATATGAAATCACCGAAACTAAAATAATAAGTCGGACCCACATTTGTTTTGTTTTCGACAGGGAATCGTACATTAGGAGCGTCATGTCAAAATCACTGTCACATGAACTGAGATCCGAAAAGTATTTTCTTGGAGGAAATGTACAATGTACAAACATCTCCTCTAAGATGCAGTTCATATTTCAGTAACCAAGATTCAGAGAATGCGAGAATAAAGTTGTTAATTGAGAAGAAAGTCAGTTATATTACAGCTTTTTTCCTGTTATTTTGAAATGTCGGAATTGTTTTTCTCAACATGGCTCAATACTCCGTTGTACCTTGACAACTACTTGCTGTATTTGTCCATTTCATAGTGCTAAGTCACACAACAAATTAAACGTTTTTAATATCAAATAAAAATCCAATTACTCCGTCCATTTGGAGTCAGCCCTTGGTTAATTTTGAAGCAGCAGCTGAAGACAATTCTTTTCTCATTGACATATGTACTCTAACAACCACTCATTTACTGTCAGTAAAATAAAAACACGCACTTGGATAATAGTAATAAAAATAAAGGCTTATATGACACTTTTCAATCCACACAGATTGTTATAAAAAACCATTAAAGATCACTAAGTTCAATTCTAGACATGAAGATGTGCACTACAAATAAAAAATGGAAAAACTGAGATTTGTACCTGGAGCATAGCACATTGGTAGCAACTTAAAAAAACGACAACAATACTATTTGACATTCTTATGTTGCCGATATAAATATCTTTACAATATTCTACAGAGAAGAAACATTTGTTTCTTATTTTCTACGAGGACTCTAATATTCATAACTTATTCAATTGTTTGTAATGGCTTACAAATAACTACAGCTTCCCTACACTGGTACGTCAAAGACAGAAAAGTGCAGCTGCCCGGGTTCCTCAGGAGGAGCTCCAGATTTAAAAACTCACTTTCAAATAAACCTACATCTTGGTTTGGAAGTCAGGAGCTGTCAGTTCTACGTGATGTGTCTGTGTCAGCAGAAGAGTGCTGCGATCGACTGTGTTTCCAGTCAGACAGTAGTAACCTGTGATGTCCCAGCACCACTGTTTATTTCTGGTTTTTAGGTTCAAATCAAAAAGAAGAGGGGATTCTTGACCAGTAGATGGCAGCAGTGACCTAAATGCTTGAGAGGGACCGGAGTGTGGAGGAGGATAAAAACTGGCACTAACACAGGGCCCCATGAGCATGGATGGATTCTGGGGCCCCTGGGAAAAAACATGTGTAAAGCCCCCCCCCACCCCTCCTACATCCAAAACCCCCATACTGAAAACAACAACACACTGCAGGTTTTTCTAAATCCACATTTTGTCAAGGCCTCCTGATCCCTCGGCTCCATGAGCCTGTGTCCCTTTGGCTCTTTCAATTATCCATCCATGTCCATGAGGCAGCTCATTAACTTTCCATCGGTAAATTACGTGACATTTAAACAAACGGTTTGTTCTACATCTGCAGCATAGTGCTAGTTCATTATAAAAACAAGACAAAATTATCCTAGAAAGTTCCTTTCATCAAAAAATAGCTAATGTATTGATTCTAACACAAGGTAGATAGATCCATTGCTATAATTCACGCCGTCAGTCAAATAACAAAAACTCATATCAAAAGCCAAACAGAGTGTAAACAAAGATCAACTGTGGCCACAAGAACGAAGACGATGCGTAAATCTCGCAGTACATGGAAATTAATTTAAATGTGTATCGCTAAGGATTCCCTTTATCTACACGTGATCAGCGATGTTCAATGCCCTGAACCAATCAAGAAGCCAATCTAAACATAAATACTGTAAACCAAAAAAATGCAGAAACACAATAAAAACAACCGTACGAGAAATGAACACAGAGGAAATCTTTTCTTCAGGTAACATGCAACATTTCCCTTATCCCTACATCTGAGGGGAACAGTGTCATTCATGACCCAAAACACTTCATGAATTGAGTGTGTGGTTTTTTTTCTACAGCGTCCTCGGTTTTCACGATCTGACTGATGGAAAAAAAACACCTTTCTTCAACTTTTCTACTGTGTGTGTGTGTGTGTGTGTGTGTCTGTGTGTGTGTGTGTGTGTGTGTGTGTGTGTGTGTGTGAGAGTCTACACCAGCGCTCTCAGGGGGAAGGACAGCGCTGCTCCTAAAGACAGACCCAGGGCCAGAAAGAAGGTCATCAGGGCTCCTGCAGTCTCTGCGTCCTTCAGCTCCACTAACCTGGTGAGTGAGTGAGTGAGTGAGTGAGAGAGAGAGAGAGAGAGATGTAACTTTCACTTTATGACCAATCTTGACCAATTAATAAGTCGCATGATCATGTTCAGAAGACTGCTGAGTCGACACAGTGAGCATCGAGCCAGTTTGTTTTGTCACAGTGATGTGATATTGCCATGGCGATCTAGGGGTGATTTGACACCAACACACATTGTTGGTGCGTTCAAGGACTCAGAGACTTGGCTGCTGCAGCATGGTAACTATCATGGTTTATAATCCTTAAAGGTTTTAATGAAATCAGGTAGGAGTGACTTAGTAATTCTGTTATGACCTCTGCACAGTAGTTTTCATAGTTAGCGGCAGCGACCACCATTAACACAGGATAGGGGGTGAGGGAAGATGTATTACAGATGAATCGTCGCTACTCTTTATAAACAGGTAACTGGTTTTCTTTCTGTGGATGATCAGTGTCAATACATGGTCGGTTTTAAATGAGTTCATCCTGAACCAATAATATGGTTTAAAACTGAGTCAAAAGTTTTAAGTCACATTCTAACTACTTAACTTTTTTCTTTCACTTTAAGACGGTTCAGTAGCTTTTATCTTAGAGCATAACACAATGAGTTCAAACAGTCCACACCCCAAAGTAACACAAAAAACAGTGTGTTATGAACGTGGACCTACAGACAGGTCATAATCGAAGCTGTCAAATGTCCAGAACTGCAGTAGCAGGTGGGATGTTGTTTCCATTACGGAGAGACATCTACACCATTTATTATTTTTACTTTATTCAGCATCAAAGGGTGTGTACTCACTGTGGTGCGTAGGACATGGAGAGGCAGACGAAGTAGCCACTGGACAAAGAGAAGAGAGCCATGATGACAACGAAAACACCGTCATGGGCAAAGTAGACAGGAAGGAAGGAGCGAGTCTGGACGTTGCAGAGCATCAGCAGAGGGATGAACACCACCCTGGAGACGACCAGCGCCGGGAACAGAGGAGACTCTTTACGAGGCTGTAGAGCAGACGACAGGGAAGATGAGTTTATATGAGAGAGAATGAGAAGATGACATTTGGTAAGGTGAGAGCATTAAGAAGATTCATATTTCCAAATATCTCCTGCAGAGCACCTCAGTCTGTAGCTCAAAGTGTCTGCACGGGAACAAACATTCCTGTATGCAGTAAAAAAAGATAATGCTGTGATTTCGTATCCTGCAGGAGGATGGACAGAAACCAGACAGAAAAAAAAAAAGATCACAAAGAAATCAGTGGTAGTTTGGATGTGGGCTGGGTTAGGGTTAGTGTTGTTGTCGAATGGGAGAGACGTGACCTTCTGACACAACAACATAAAAACGTGCTGCCACTTTGTGACAACGACAAGAGAGAGCGAGAGAGCGATCCCGTCAAGCGTCCACCCACAGTTTAATATGTTGTATTATTGTTCCACTGGAGGACGGCTGAGGTCATTTCCAGTCAAGGACAAAGAGGCAGTGCGTCATGTTCCCTCCATTACTCACTGCTGCAGTTTCTAATCACTGCTCTCACCTGAATGGTCTGTAAACACAGAACTGGATACAATAGAGGTCGACCGCTGTATGAAATGTAACACAATAGGAAATGTATCAGCCATCAGAGATCTGCTGTTTAAATCAAGGTCATCTCCTTTAATATCTCTGGAGGAAGTAATACCCAACTATAAAACTAAAACACATGTCGAAATGTTTAAAAATAAAAAATTAACTTGATTTATATAGCTCCTTTAAAAACAGGGTTTATAGTTTACAGTGCTTTGACAGACAAAGCAGAAAGAGGGGCAATCGCACAAAGTCAGTCACATTAATAAAAACAAGACGGCGTCACAAAAAAAAAAAAATCGGAACACAAAAGGAAAAACACAACATTGCGTTAAAGGAAATAAATACCAATAAAAAGATTAAAAGTGTTAAAAACATAAAGATAAAAAGACATTATTACCGGTCAGTCTGTAAAAAGTGGTTTTTGAAGTACGAGCTGTGCAGAATGGCCATTTTCAAGTTGTTAGATTATTATATAGTTGACAGGAATTCATGTTCTTACTCAGGCTTTAACATCTATGGTAATGTTGTAGCTGGTTGAGGTGGCGCTAATGCTATTATTATTGATATTATTGTAATTTCATGTCGAACGAAGCAGCAATTTAACAAGGTGCCCATTATAAGTTTGCATATGTCTGAATATTAAATATTAGATTAAAAACATGTCTGTCTTCAAAACATTATCCAACCGTGTCTTTCATAAATAATGTATCTTTACACAAAAGATGTCTGTGCTGGACATGTTTAGTTTAGTTGGTTAGATTTGACAAAGAATCAAAATGAAAATAAAGCTAGAAAATCGAAAATAATATAATAAGTTGTTGGGACAATAAGATGCTACAAAGAGTCGTCTGATTATTATACGACTGAAATAAGTGATGTAATTGATTGAATCTCTCCCAGACACAGATACTCACCCAGCGTACGATGGTGGTGATGGTGCGGCCGAGCCAGTCGTTGATGTTGAACATTAAGAAGCAGCACACTGACAGAAAGAACCGCTCTGTTGAAAGACAGAACAAAGGAGGATTTGAGATCAGGCCACATTTTTAAGAGTGTAAAGATTTTCCAAGTGATCTCTGCTTTAAACTTTGTTACTGTACATCTCTCCGTTTATGTTAGACACTGTCCGTTGCAATGAATGTTGTAGATATGATTATTATGTTGATGTGCTCTGTTGCACTTCTATCTGTTGGGCGAGAGGGATCCCTCACTTGAGTCCCTGAGGTTTGGGCATTTCTTTCTCTCGTTAAACAGGATTTGTTGTAGTTTTCCCCATTGTTAAGCCTATAAGCCAAATTTTAATTTGTGGATATGGACAATCCATTTAAAAATTGATTGATTGATTGGTCTTCTGGGTGTATAGACATCATGTATGTGCATGTTGTTTGCAGCAGGAATCTACCAGAGTTGAACAAAGGCTCAGTCATACCCCATTTTCCTGGGAATGATGTTCTGACATCTGCGGTGACAGCAGGGAAGACAGACAGAGTGACTGTGAACACAAAGGTCACACAGAAAGCCATCACCCAGATCTGAAAAGTAAAGAGGAGAGAAACCGCTTATACACACACAACAGGGCTAAATGTGCATTTATGTGCTCCTCGGAAGGTCCCGTTTCCCTGAGTTGTGAAGTCACTGTTCTGACTTTGGCTTGTTCACGTGCTTTCGAAAATCGGAAGGTGGGGAAAACAATGGACGCTGTAAACGAAACATGTTATATTCATGTGTTCAGAGCCTTTTAACAGCAACTTGAATCCTCTTTCATTGATTGACATAATAAAGAAGATCAACGAAGATCAAGTCAATTTTCCTAGTCAGGAAGTCATTTCACGGATTATTCCCACAACATGTGAACACATAAATAGTTACTACACTGAAATACCTGACACACAGAACCTTTGCTTGTCGTAGTGTCATGAGATTTACCTTTTTGAACACCTCTATGACCGAGGCTTTGGCTTGTGTCTTCTCCGCCTGCTCCAGCGACAGGAAGGCCTGCTTAGTCTCTTCCGGGCTGGGGTCCACCGAGGTCTCGGTTTGACCGCTGCTGCTCACCGAGCCATTAGCATGCCCGTTCAGCTTGCTGTTCTCCGCTGTGCTGCTCTCTGCAGTTGAATATGTACATACGTCTTAATGCTGTCTCAAAATTAAAGTACAAAACCGTACGTAAGGAGGGAGTATTTCTTTTCTGCAAATTTTGAGACTAAATAAGTCCATTGTTCTTTTTCCATACAAAACTTTACTGTTCATTGTCAGCTTGGGGGAAAATATGGCATCTGGTTGGGATGCGAGTCAGAGCCTGTCTTTGGGTTTTTGAGCATTCATAGATTATGCGGAGTGTGTGTGTGGGACTGTGTGTCAGTGTAACAGGCTCTGTCTTTGTTCGAGCGCTGCTGCGACTCTAATTGGATAAACCGAGGGTCAATAGACTTAATAACATAATGTTCCACTGAATTGATTTGATTCAAGCGGACTGAAGGAAAGAACTGTGAACTGGAAAAGAAAACACACGCTCGCTCACTGTCAAACCAATGTTTGATCATCTTAATCCTATAAATATTAAAGAACTCACACTTTAATATTAAGTCAGTGGGTGAAATGATTGTCACTTGGAGACAGAATGAATAATTCAAAGAGTCGGCACAGGGAGTTTGTTTAAGAGTGTGCAGGGTGAGTTCGGTCATCTCACCTTTCAGCAGCTCGTCTGCGGTGCCTGCCTCATACCTGCTGCTTTTCTTCAGATAATGCTGGGCAAACTCCTGCATGGAAACGACAGACAACACAAGTTAAACCTTTGAGCTGGAAAATACACAAACAAAGAAGATTACATGGATACAAACATGACCCATCCTGTTGAAACACAGCACAGGTTCAGAGGGATTTGTGAAAAGCAAGAGCAACATTTTAATGCTGACTAACTCGGATAAAATTGAACGAGGTGATTCCCACTGAAATTAAATTCACTTTGTCCTGCCATCATTTTGCTTCTGTTTCCCTTCCAGGAATTGAATCATCCCAAAACATTAAAGCTACTCAGGTTTAAACAGCTTTTTAAAGTTTTTTTCCCCAGTATCCAACTATCTAGAGCAAACTATCTTAAAAAGCCTGGTTATGTATTTAATAATTGAGTTTCATTTCCAACAGTTGCTTCAGTGCGACAGTGTTACAGCGTTAACAAAGAGTGGATTTAAAATAGTTTATGTGAGGTTGAATGGATTGTGGTTGATGTAGCCATGCAGAGCTGAGAGCTGACTGACCAGGCGAGGTAGAAGCAGGTAGCTTAAGAGTGTAACCACTGTTCCCACACATGGTGTAATGAAGTAACCCAACGCTGCTGACTCAGAGTCTGCATCACCTGAGTGACAAAGCACAAAGACAAGAGTTAACCACAAGCTGTGGGAGGAAGAAGCATACAAGATAAGATACAACTGCTCGAAGGCATCCGGCACGAGCAGAGTCCTCTGAGTGTCTTTGAGTTGTGGGTGCCGTTGTGTTTTGACTAGCTCTACATGCATTTTGAATGTCCTCTGTTCCTAGGCAACTGGGGATTAGACACCCTGTGCTATTTTGTGTGGGCGGCTCACTGGCTATGGCGAGCAGCATGGCGACGGCGGCGAAGGTCCCTGCGAGGCCCTGGCCGCTCATGAAGATGGTGCTGTACTTCTGAGGCAGCAGACCCACCAGGCCGAACAGACTGCCCTGCAGCACGGCACCGAACGCTAGGGAGAACAAGTGTTGTGCCAGTCAACATTTTTTCAACTGTGCGCCACTCTCGACAGCTATTTCAGGCTTCCGCTCGCACTGACTTACAGTTGATGAACCAGACAGTAGCCATGGTTACTGAGAAGAAGCGCTCGGCTTCCATCGGCACTTTGACCAGCACTGCTGTGAGGATGAAGAGCAGCAGGATAAAAACGAGGCTACCTGCGATACGCACCGCCTCCGATATCCTGAAACAAAAACAGTTGACATTAGTGATTTCACCGAAAGCGTGTTGACTTCTAAATCTAACTGGAGGGAAAATACACCTGAGTCAGTGTTTAATTCCACAGAATTCATTAAATCTATGGTGGTAGCAGGGGGGTGCACATACTGGCACACTCTCATATGCAGTGGTTTCTGAGTGACAGGTTCACAGACTGGAGTAAAAGAGAAGTCCTCGCGTGAGAGAGGGAACTGCATTTTATGCCACAACTATAAGATCAAACGGTGGCAGCACAAATTAGAAAATTAGAGACGAGATTATTAGCAGAAAACACTGAGTAATATATTTGTAAAAGACACTTAGTAAAAGCTAACACCTTACATTTAGTGTTTACAAGCAAGATGCGTTATTCCAACTGAATATCTTTCTGTTCCTCGATAAACAAGAGTCTTACATTCTTATAAACAGTTTCTGAACACTGCCCAGGCCCAAAGAGGACACATGATGTCTACTTGGAACCCAGTCACTGACCTGTGGTAGAGGACGGAGTTGAGCAGGGTGAACAGCAGCAGGGGCAGCTGGGAGAGGAGGGTCATCCAGTTGTTGAAGTAGTACTCTTTGCGGATCACCGCTGTGCCGTTGCTCCATTCTGTTGTGTTTAGGCGACCTTGGAAATACTACAAACCCAGTAGGACAGATATTAGATCGTCGCTGCCAAATCCTCCTTCAACTTCACATAAGGAGACATGAAATTGGGACTACATACTATATAACCAACGATGGAAGATAACTGATTTTAATATAAACAGGCAGTCAAATATTTCAGTATACGCAGATAATAAATGAGTGCAAGGAGTGAGCACAAAGTGGCAAAGGGTACTAATAATAATAATAATAATACAACACTAATAGTTACAGTTTTCCTAAAATCCAGGTGGCTGATTAGAGCACGGATCCAGATACATGTGGTTCTGGCAACAGTGAAATAATCGTCCTCATTTGCTTTGCTGCGTGAGACCTGCAGTGTTCTTACATCTTCTATCAGCAGCTGAAAATATCCCTGACTGTTAAGTGTCAAAGCTTTCAGCAGGAATCAGAGTGCTGTTTCGGCGCTGTACACGTAGCTGACATCTATGTAAAGAGAGGCTTTGCTCCATCCCGTGAACATGTGTGTGTGTGTGTGTGCGTGCCTTCAGCCACATGACAGGCTAGTGGATTTATGGGTCCCCTGCAGGTCAAAACAACACCCTTCACCCAGAATGCATAACACGAAAGTCCACAAATCACTTAATACCATCTCTGACAAATCCAATCCTTTATGTTCACTTACATCACATGATGTAGTTTTTTAGAAATCTTCCTGAAATACAGATATTACCGCTTATTGTGCATTAGACCATTGTCACAATTCAGGTTTAAGTGAAAAGTCTTAAAAGTCACTATAGAGGAACGGTATTTTTATGAGTTGAGTCTCAAACATTTCATGCATCATGTGTCAGAAGTAGATCAATCGATAGAAAGATACTTTATTCATCCTGAAGGACATTAAGGAGAAGTATAATGTTTTTTACCAATGAAGCAGTCATGAAGAAGTTCCATGGTAACAGTGTTCCCAGGCCCAAAATGAAGAAACTGATTCCCACCAAGCAGCCCCTGTGAATAAGACGTGTTATTTGAAGAAAGGTGTACAGCACCCAACTGCCCTGTGAGACAAATTGTGATTTGTGAATATGATTGAACTGGACACTACATTACAGTTTCATTCTTAAAGAACAGGCAGCCACTATAAAGAAAGGCTCCAGCTGCTATATATTAACAAGTAGGGCTAAAAACTTGTAACAAAAACATCATGAGGCCATAGCTGTATGTGCTCTACTGAGTGCAATTCTAGTTTAATGTCTAGTTTTCAAAGACAAAGTGCAAAATGATGAGTTTCTTGTTTGAATCTAGTTTTAACTCACCGATCCTGAGGAGCGTCTGTTCGTTCCTTCATCCTGATGTAGGAGGTTCTGGTGAAACTGCGAGGGCAACAGCAGAGAGGAAAGGTCAGCCACATTGCTGAGGATAACTGATCGCACACGTTTGCTCTCAAGACAATCCTCTGCAGGTTTCACGAGTGAGATGCAGGAATGTGTTTTCGTTCCGACAGGAGGCTGTGAGGGGTGGTCCAGTGAAGTACACTGGTGTGGTATGAGTCTGGACATAAGAGCTTTGCATCGTTTCACATTGACTTTTCCTGTGTTACATCACATGAGCCTGTGAGACTTAGAATAAAGTAACTTGCAGTCTGACAGTCTGGTCCAAACAAAGTAGGTGTGAATGCACCCTGAGGCATTTGGAATAGCGCAAGTGTATATGTCCAATCCAACGGCCTGACCGATTTCTAACTGGCACTGAAGAAAGCTCCCGGAGGCCACGGAACAAAACCTGTTTTAATGTGTGCTCTAGTCAAGAACATGAGAATCCACTCCCTGGACTGAAAAGGAAGCCCTCACACTGAGTGTGCAGAATGGCTGCTCGGCTTGTTTTGACTTGCTGGAGGATCAGACTGGAAACACAAGTATACCTTGGGAGTCTGGACTACTTCCTGAATACAGCTCAAAACATCTATCTACATACGTTGTGCAGCTCTGAAATAGTATGTGGCTCGCGCACATAGTTTTTCAGCTGACTGCACTTTTCTACTACTACATAATAGTAGAATACTTAGAATACTTTCTATTTCTTTGTCTGTTCAGTCATGTTGACACTTCCTTCTTCCTCCAAACACAAACAGGTGTAACCAGACATGAATGACCTCTGGTTTCCAACGATCACAGGTATGTTACAAGCAAGGCTAGAAATAAAGGCCTGTTTATTTCCTGGTGAGATGGTCGGCTACACAATCTCCACCTGCATCTCAGTGAGACAATGGGACACTCCTTGGTTGGTTTTCAAAGCTTGAAGAATATCAACTCAATCAGTCAAGTTCACTGCAGTCTAACTTGAAAGCCTGTTTAATGCAGCAGAGCAGAACTAATCACAATGTTCTGGTTAATCATGGACAAGACCTACAATATGTTGTGTTTATTTTACCAACATATCGTGGAAGGATCATAAGCCCCAGTTTGGCATCAGCAGGAGGTAAAATAAAAATAATTAACATCCCAACTGATCACTAACAAAAACCAATCAAACAACCAGCAGGGGTTTGGTTTTGAGACACACTCATGTTGACATAGAAAACATATCCTGAGTAAACTTAAGGTCAAGGCTGAAAACAGAAGTACTGTGCAGCCCCCCCCCATGTCAACAGGAATGTCAGCTGATGTAATCTCACTAAGCCTGATATAAGCCCCTGAAATATGTTTATAACTAAGTGTCCATTCTTGCTATTCAACCACTTGTCAGTGTTATGTAGCAATTTAAGTAGGAGTTAGTTTTGAAATGAATATGTTAAGCAACAGCACATCTTGTGTGTATGAGTCTATCTTATGACTAAAATATTAGTAGACTGAAGTCACAGGACCAGATGATTTAAAAGATCCCATACTTAAAGGTAGAACATGTAACTTCAGCCACTAGGGGTCTCTCGATCCGAAAAATAACAAAGAACACAGTTTGATCACGTCGGAGGCAGCGTGGAATCATGGGAGTTGTTGTATTCACTACATTTGCAAATGAAAAAAAATGACCTGATGCGATTAGTAAAACTGATCATGAAATTCAAGATGAAAAATCCCTCTGCCTTGAAAACTATTTTTGATTTTGAACACTGTTGGAAACATTCTGGTAAAGTCAAGTCAACAAAATATATCACAAAGGTTTTTTGACATTTTAATGAAGAAGTGTTACTTTTTATATTTATCACATTGGCACATTTTATTTTCTGCTTGATTGTGAAAATTCTAAAAGCTTGGGTGTCTAATGGAAATGAAAAGTGGCACGAAGGAAATCTTGAAAATTGAATCTTGAAGAGCATTAAGGTTTCAAATCTTTAAGATAAGATGAAGATTTGTTTGGATTTATTTGTTTAATCAATTTCCAACCTCAATTACCTAATACGAGTACTATTACAGCTAATGAAAGCGAGAACATTCTATTAGTGAAGCCAGTGAAGCTCAAATAACCGGGGGACAGACAAAACACATTTTAGCATTCTAGACCTTCTCCTCCACCTTATTTATGTCCTGGGTCAATCCACCCCTCCCTCGCTGGTAACAACATGTACCAGACAGACAAGAGAAGGGGCACCTCCCACATCACTGAGGAAAACATGAAAAACACGAAAAATGTGCCAGACCTGCAGGAAACCTCGAGGTGGCTCACAAATCAGTCTTAAGATGTCAGTCCCTGAGACTGCAGCGGCTCTTCACAAACACAAATATCACCGCGCAGACAATAACTCCTGGATTATAATGACTTTTTGTCAGTATACTCAGAAAGTGTGAGAAACCCACTGATGTGCAGACACAGGCTTTTCAGCTTGAGACATAGAAGTGGGGGTGTGTGGAGGGAAAACAGCTGCGTTAACACAAAAGTTATTTGCTCTGGTCCCGGGCACTAAAGCACTATTTGTGTTTGCCTTTCTAATCACTTAGGAGAAAAACCTTCCTTTGTCCCTTGACGTCTTACTATATAATGTCGATCTAGCAAATATTATTTATGTGTTTCTTTCCACACGTGTATTTACAGTATTTGTCTATCAAGTTAAACTCGTACAGTCGTGTCACAACAAGTACTCATGAGGTTAAAACCTCACTGTCCCTCTACTGACTACCTCTGTCCCAGCTGTCTTCAATGTTTGTTTTCGCCGGATGACCCCTCTCCGCTCTTTTGCCTCCAAATAATGATGAGAAATGATGATCCAGGGTGAAGAAAAACGTTGCGGTGAATTCTGATGAGGGTCCCACTGTTCAGACTTCTGTACCATTTCAAAAAACTGATTTAAAAAAAATTAGATGTGACGTAAGCCACAGAAAACTTTCCACCTCCGCCAAGAAGGTTTTGTTTTCATCTGGGTATGCTTCGTTAGTGGGCAGGGTAATGCAAAAAGTTCTGTGCAGATTACGATGAAACTTAGTGGGAGGATGTGGTACGGGTCAGGGGAAAACCCATAGAATTTCAGTGCAGATCTGAATCTGGGGCAGATCCCAGAATAGTTTTTCAGTTTCTTTAACTGTGAGACAGAGCATTTTGTGACAAAGTTTAGAAATGTAACTCAGGTACCTCCCACTTCTATTAGTCATCTTTTAGGTGTGTCTACATGGTTCGTGGTTCGACATGACAGGAAAAGGCACACTCCTGCTCACGAGGTGCAGCAACTCAAAGTAAAAGAAACCAAGCCATGAGGTTGGAGGAGTTACCTGCAGAGCTCAGAGAGAGGGTTGTGTGGAGCATGCTCCAGGTTCCGAATCAAATTCTAACTGTATAGCCCATATTGACAAATCACACTTTTGCCTCATCAGGCTTAATGGACACCACCCTCGGTCTCGTATGTTTATCAGACATGATCAGGAGAAACACGAGGCACCTGAGTGCTCACAGCAAAATCTTGGATTCTCCTTTCGAACAAACGTACAAAGAAATCTGAAAATCTGTTTTCATTTCGTGATTCAATGAGCAAAAAGGAAGGAAACCAGCGCTGCTTGTTCCAGTGGTTTCACACTGATTGATTTGGCACACTTGAAATCCAGACCTGATCGTGATAATCTCATCATTTTTAGATTAGAGAATGAGGTTTTGAAATCAAAACACAGAGTAAAAGCGGTTTCATGGTGGCAGAAAACCCAGAAAAATAACAATATTAATGGCACATCCATGAGATCACGTGGAATTGAACCTCAAACTAACACTGACTCAGTTGTTCTGCTCCCTGTTGCTTCTGACTTCCCTGTCCTTTCTCCTGACTCACTAGATTCCCAGTTTTTACAGGGATCGTGTGTTCACACAGCACCAGCGTCCATGTAGCCTCATAGTAGGTGTGCTGCTATATGAATACAGAGCATTCACCGTGTAGCACACTGCAGTTCAACAACAAGACTAACACACCGCCATCATAACTGAAATATAAACCGGAATAAAACCACGTCCACCTTGTTTCATCCGCACAGGAGCTGGTGTCTGACTGAATGCAAACAGTTAGCATGAAAGAACCCTGCTAATGGAGTTATTGTAACAACACTGAGGCGTTTCCAGCCTCACACGAGTGAGGAAGAGGAAACCTGACCCCCCTCCTCAGCGTGTCAAACGTCCCCCTCGACTGGGACACCGAGCTACCGTGATGTGGAGCGGCGGAGCGGGCTCACCTCGGGTGAAACGCTGGCCCCTCGTTGTCACTGTGTCTTCATCGTGTGTCCACCGTTGAACCCGGTCTCGCCCGCTCCGACACAATGGTTCCTCTGGGGGTTCGTTCTCAGCTGCACGTGGCGGGAATCTGTAGAATGGCTACTAGCGCGAGCTGCGTGTGTTTAATCAGAGCGTGTCGTCACACCGCCCCCCCCCCCAAGCTCTAAACACTTCCGGTGACACGTTTCTTCACCAGCGAACCTTCATATTTTCACAGACAGAACCTATACACACACATATATATATATATTTATAT